TCATGAGTAAAGCAGATGATGCATCGTTGGTGTAGGCAGTTTTCAGAAGGTCGTCAAAGTGCTCATAATGAAGAGTGCAGTGGCAGACAGTCCCTCATCAATGATGATCTTGTTGAGCTTGTGCGGCAGCTCGTGATGGAGAACCGTCGCTTCACGATTACGAAGCTGAGCAGCCATTTTCTGCAGATATCACAATCCTTGTTGCAAGAGATTGTCACTAAGCACCTGCTGTTCAAAAAATTGTGTGCCAGGTGGGTGCCGAAAAACCCGACATCTGAACACAAAATTGAACGCTTAGGAGCAGCACTGACATTTCTGTAACGGTATCACGATGACGGCGACAAGTTCCTCAATGGGATCGTCACAGGCAATCAGACTTGGATTCTGCACTTCACCGCGGAAAACCAAGCAGCAGTCAATGCATTGGCAGCATAGTGGATCTCCAGTCGGGACGAAATTCAAACAGACGCTATCGGTACACAAAGTGATGTGCACAGTGTTCTGGGACAAGAAGGGCATTCTGCTCATTGAGTTCCTTCCACGTGGTGAAACAGTAAACGCTGACCATTACTGTGAAACACTGTGGAAATTGTGACGCGCCATTTGAAAAAGATAAATGGCTTCGAAACGTTTTGGGGATCGAGAAGTGATATGTCTTCATACAACTTCCTATGCCCTTTAAACCTACTATTCATCGATTAAATGGCGTTATCCAATATAAAAGTAAAGACAATAACTTGTTTGATAGAGCAATTTAAATTATAGTCGGCCGATTCTTCATCGTCTAATTGTTTCACTTTTGGTATCTTCTAACAGGTAGCTCTTCTTTTATATCACAACCCAGCCTTTCTAGTTTATTATTGTAATCCGTTGCAAACAATTTTGATGCATTAAATGTTAAATTGAAGTTTCTAGAGAATGGCTTTTAAAGAGCTTGCAGCCTCCCTAACTATATTATATGCTAGCATGTAATCTAATCCTTTAGTCTGCAAATATTTCATTACTGGCTCAGTATGTTGAAATATTTTCAAATATACGTGAGCAGACAAATTATTCTAAAAGTTGATATTTATCCAGAATAGATTTTGCCATTTGTCGTATCTGTGCATTTTGAATACCATTGGAAGTTATACTTTTCAGAGAAAGTATTAATTCTACGCACATACCCTCCCTCGCAGGGCTGTCTCGCCGAGTCATCTGTGTCAATTCGATTGTTCGAATTTCTTGATCAGCCCGAAACCGCACCAGCCTTATCCACCACTGAATCTTACGGATATCTAAAGTGTGAAAACATGTTTTCCCCTGTGGCGACTTGCCTATTACATGCTGCCAGTCTGGTAACCCATAACAATGAAAGACAAAATAATATTTATTCTATTCTATTGTTATGATTATTAATGTTATGTTACGTAAGGCGTTACGTTCGAACAATGGCTAGCTCAGAAGGGATTCGTAAGTCATCTACCCGATGAATTAACAGCTATCTTGTCATAAATGGAGTACTTCATTTAAACTTAAGCAAAAAGATTTATTTACACATAAAGACAAGTTAAAAGAATATAAAATATTTATCTAGCTACAATATCTATCTAGCCACATCATGCAAACATCGTTCTTAGCTAACTAAACCGGAACTGTTCGTTTTCCTCTGGCGTCCCATGACGTCAGTCTCTATCTGGCTTTTGATTCGTTGGCTTAGTGATGCCATTCCCAACATCCTCCCCCCTTTGAGTTGCTGGATAGCTACTCAAAACATTCAAGTCTATCAAGTTCAGTCTAAGTGGCATCTTAACAGTTCTACCAGCTCGTGTCTTTATAGTCTTAGAACTGTCACATACATCGGAAACATCAGTGAGGGTCCGGAGATCGGGGTGACCCAGAAATTTCTGAATGATGAGAGGTACTCATGTCGTCTCCACGATGAGAATCTGAAGACTTTACAGCAGATTGATGTTTTTGAGGATCACTTGGATGACATGAACCTGACAAATCATCATCTTGGATTTCTAGGGGAAACACTCGTTGTATCGGACGTACTAAATTGTTAGTTTGCGTTCTTAATCTAACTGTTCTCACTTTACCGTCCTTTCCTGGAATCAGTTCCGTAACCCTGGCTAAAGGCCAATTCAATCTCTTTTTGATATCATCTCCTATCAACACAACGTCATTCACTCGAATATTTGGAAAGTGTGAATTTTGCTGTCGTTTCTGAATAAGTAGTCCTAAATATTCCTTTCGAAAACGTACTCGGAGATCTTCCATTAATTTTGCACGAAATCTGATTCTTTTCCTGAGATGATTGGTGTCTACTGTGTCTATATCAGTTACATCTAAATTGGATCTATCGGTCAGAAACATGGCAGGTGTAAGTGGAACTAAGTCTTCTGTATCTTCGGATAAATATGTCAAGGGGTCGCGAATTTACTACCCTTTCACATTCGCACATAACTGTTTCCAGTTCTTCATAGGTAAGAACAGCTCTGCCCAATGTTCTCCTAAGGAGTTCTTTGACTACTCGAACAAGTCTTTCCCACCATCCGCCCCACCAGGCAGCAGTGGGGGGAATGAATTTCCATTCGATCTTCTGTATTTCTGTTTGTCGAGTTATTTTACTCCAATCAATTTCTAAAAAATTATTATAAGCTCCCCTAAAGTTTGTACCGTTGTCTGTATAAACCACTCTAGGTCTTCCTCTTCTAGCAACAAAACGTCTAAATGATAACAGAAAAGCATCAGTAGAAAGCGATGTTATTAACTCTAAATGAATTGCTCTATAAAGAGCACACGTGTGTAGAGAACCATCCATACTTTGTCCCCACGTTTTACAAATAGGGGACCTGCTAAGTCAATACCAACTACTTCGAAAGCTGCAGCATTTTCCACTCTATCAGCAGGTAAGGAAACTGGTTCAGTGATGAGAGATTTAGTTTTGTATCGTCGACATTTAATACAGTCCTTCAGAACACTACGTATCGCTCTTCTTCCTCTTGTAATCCAGTACTTTTCACGCAATATGCTTAGTAATATCTGGGTTCCAGCATGACAGTTTTCTCGGTGAAAATATTCAATCAGTCTTTGAGTAAAGATACATTTATCAGGAAGAAGAATAGGTGAAATGAAGAAAGGCTTATCTATGCGTTCAGTAATTCGAGTTTTAACTCTGATAATTCCGTTCACATCTTTGAAAACACACAAGTTCCGAATAAGAGGTTTCACTAGGAAAAAATTGAGCTTGCACATTACGAATAAGCAGAATTTCAGCATTTTCAATCTCCTGCGTTAGAAGTTCTCCCCCCCCCGTCTAGTATCATGACGCGATCTTACATTACTGATAAATCTCAATATCCATGCAACCATTCTAACTATTGAATGGAAATTTGAGAATTTAATGGCATACCACGGGACTCTCTCTTCCGACAAATTAATATTACATAACCTAACCTTTCTCCTTTCAAGTGTTATTTCGGGTGTTTCCGTTATCAATATTTCGGTGTCAGGCCAGTTGTCTCTTGCTTGCAACAACCATGCCGGGCCTTTCCACCAGCAGGATTCTAACAATTTCTTAGGGGAACACCCTCGCGAAATCAGATCAGCGGGATTCATTTTCCCTGGCACATGTCGCCATTCATTATTAGGAAACAGATTATTTATTTCTTTTACTCTGTTCGAGACAAAAACTGTCCAATCACCACGTTCTTTTAACCAGTATAAAGCTACCCTAGAGTCGCTCCAAAATATTGTTTTAATCTCATGGGCATTTAAAGCCTGCTTCACTGAATATGCCAACCTGGCACCAATGCAGCAAGCCATTAACTCTAACCTAGGGATCGTTACTTTCTTCAAAGGTGCAACTCTGGTTTTTGCTCTAACAAAGTAAATTTTTACCCCTTGAGAGGTTCTCGTTCTAAAAAAAATACAGGTGGCATATGCCTCTTTGCACGCATCTACGAAAACATGCATCTCAGTGGAATCATTTATTTCAACATAACGTGAGATTTCGATATCTCTTAATGCATCTATTTCTCTAAACCATCTTTTAAAAGACATTTGAATACTATCTGGTAAGGGAGTATCCCACTTTAGATTTAAATTCCACGTTTCCTGCAGTAAAAGCTTAGGTGGTAAGATTGCAGGACTCAACAGACCTATTGGATCAAATATTTTGTGAACTGTAGCTAAAATGATTCTCTTAGTAAAATTCTGATCTTCACTTACAAGATTAAAGTTTAAATTACACTTAAGAGTGTCCTTATCAAGATCCCACAAAATTCCCAATACTTTCGTGACACCAGTACTATTAGAAACATACTTACATTTTACATTACTCTCCCAGTTTCTTAAATTAAAGCAACCCCGTGACAAAATATCTTTTGCATTTACAATAAAATCTTCCTGCTCCTCAATATTTGCAACACCAGAAACACAATTATCTACGTAAAAAGAATGTTTCAGTTTTTGTGCTATAGCATCAAATTCAGATGGTACATTATCTAATAAATGTGTAATTGAGGCTGCTAATAAAAATGGACTCGACTTTAACCCAAATACTACTCTGCGATGTCGGTAAACAATCTGTTCACTCTCGGACGGATAAAAAAAACCGCAAGAAATCTCTATGTTGAGGGGCTATACTTAGCATCAGAAATGCTTTCTCAATATCTGAAGATAATCCTATTGGATGAATTCGAAACCTATCAAGTATCTCTGGAATTATTTCTAGTAAGTTCGGACCCTTATACAAAAGGTCATTCAAAGAGCATTTACCACTTTCTCGGGCTGACGCGTCAAAGACAGGTCTGATTTTTGTAGTGGTACTGTCCTTAATTACTGGCCGATGAGGTAAAAAATGTCCCGTCTCAATATTATCAGTTACCTTTTCAATTATATTCAATTTTTCCCATTCCCGGAAAATCGTAGTATATTCTTCTAAAAATGCTTTATCTTGTGCTCGCTGGCACATCCTTTTATGCCGCTTCCAAGTTAAATCTTTATTTGTCGGCAAATCGGCCACATCAGATTTAAAAGGTAAACAAAGTTCATATCTACCGTCTGAAAGAATTTTCACATTATTTTTAAACTCTTCCAAAACTCTAGAATGTTCTAAATTCTTTCTATTATTTTCAATGGGATCTGAAATACCTATGGATTCTAAAGACCACAAATCTTTTATCGAATAATTACTAACATACAACGAAATTGCATTCAAAACAGTATCATCATTGCTATCTCCAAATGACTCATGCTTCCCAGTTAACACATGTCCCAAACAAGTGTCAATCAAAAATAACCCTGACTCCAACCGAACAGATTTATTAGTAAATAAAGCGCCCACAATATCCGCTCCCAAAAGCAGATCCGATCTCACGATCAGAAGAACCCAAATCAGACAAACTGACGCCTCTATCTTTCAGTTCATTAATAATTTTACTATCGTTCACTTTTGGCACTGTGCCACAAATTTTGCTCTCGGAAAGTGCTTCGATTTGAAAGGAGAAAGTTTCATCTAATGCCGAAATCAACAAATTATAAACATCGTGAATCTGCGTTCGCGTTTCTCTTCCACCGAATAACGAATGCTTCAATTTAATTTGCCTTAATGGTTTTAAATTTAAATTCTCTACTAATTTTTTACTGACATACGAATGCTGAGAACCTGTATCCAGTAATGTGCGTACTTTAAGCTCAACATTCTTAAATTTAATTTTAACTATTAGAGTCATTAAATAAACATTTTCTATTTTACAGTTATTAGTTAATGTACTGGTTTCAGTTACGTCCCTTTTAGACTTTTCATTTGCGCTTTTTTCTTGGCGATTGGGACACATTAAAGAATGGTGATTTTTATTACAGTACATGCAAGAATTTTTTACTCGACATGTTTTAAAAGTGTGTCCAAATCTGAAACATCCAAAACAGGCCCCTTTTTAATTAATATATTTTTCTTAGCTTCTAATGTCATATTTCTAGCAGAAAAACATTCTTTAGTTGGGTGCCGTTTTTCACAAAAGAGACAGTTAAAATTGCGCTTACCTGGGCTCTCAGAATTTGATGTACTTACTAACGCAGCTGCGGTGGCGAAATCTAAATTTTTATTTAGTGTATCCTTTTTCTTAGAAATATGATTAGAACCAAACCCAGTGCGGGCTAACACGACCATCTCTTCTCCTTTCACTTCTTGTTTCAGAAAATTCATCAAATTTTCAAGGCATCGGTCATCAGGCTGAGGTGCTTCTTTTAAATTTCTGTTTCTCTCCCAAGCAATTAATACTTCTTCGGGCAGGCAGGATTCAACTAAAGGCGTTAAGAAATCACCATACTTCTCTTGCGTTCTTCCAAGACTTTCTAAAGCTCTAATCTTGGTTTCTAAATCATCGTAGAGAGTGGGAAGATCCGTCTTCACACGTCCACTGCTTGCATTACGCATAACCATGCTTAGAAGATCTCTGACGTATATCTGTACAAGTAAGTCTTCTCTTCCAAACCTCTCTCGAAGCTGGGCGATTGCTTTCGGATAATTCGACGCCGTTGCCGGAAAGCTCTCCACTACCCGTGCGGCTTTGGACTGAGGAACAACTGCTTGCAGGAGGTACTGGAATTTATCTTCATCTGGAATCGTCGGATCTTCATGGATCTTCGAAAACTGGCTCCAAAACGTCAAAAATTCTTTTGCTTCGCCGTTGAATTTCTTTAGTTCGATCTTCGGCAGTTTAAATTTGCGCTTCTCTGGTAATTCAGTAGGTAAAGGATTCTTCGACAGCTTTTCGATTTGAGAACACAGTTCAAAATATTTATCTCTATAAGGCTCAGACGAAATAAAATCTTCTTCATATAGCTTTTCAGCTTCTTTAGATTGTAGAATTAGCGACGTTACTTCCTTTTGGCAAATTTCAAGTCGATTAAACTTGTCTCTAAGCTGTTGTTCCAGAATCGAAAGTAGCTTCAAATCAGGAATATCTGATTTCAGTTCTGCATCAATTTTGTTTGCACATGTGGTAAAGGAAGTTCTTAGACATTTTCTTTCGGTTTTCAGCTGTGTAAGCTCCATTTTCAATTTATTTTAGCTGTTATCGCGCCCCACGTCTTGGCGCCACAATGATTATGTTACGTAAGGCGTTACGTTCGAACAATGGCTAGCTCAGAAGGGATTCGTAAGTCATCTACCCGATGAATTAACAGCTATCTTGTCATAAATGGAGTACTTCATTTAAACTTAAGCAAAAAGATTTATTTACACATAAAGACAAGTTAAAAGAATATAAAATATTTATCTAGCTACAATATCTATCTAGCCACATCATGAAAACATCGTTCTTAGCTAACTAAACCGGAACTGTTCGTTTTCCTCTGGCGTCCCATGACGTCAGTCTCTATCTGGCTTTTGATTCGTTGGCTTAGTGATGCCATTCCCAACAATTACGATCTGTCTCAATTATTGTACTACCTTAATAAAAATTTTATTACCACAGCCCCCTACCCCCTTGGGGGCCGAATTCTCAAGGCTAGGGGTCCTTGGGGGGGTCGAACTTCTGAAACTGGTTTTTAAGTATTCATGTTCCATACATTTTAAAGCAAGACTCTTGTGTACATCTGTTTCTTCCTTATATGAAAAAACGTAAAAACATTTTGTTTTGCCCTCCCCCCCATTGGGTGCCGAATTTTCAAAAAATCTCTTCTTAAATGACGCCTTCAGTAGACAAGAAATGAGCTTCCTAGCTTTTGATATCTGCATCTGTAATAGCTTTGGGCGATGATGTATAGATGAATGAATGAATAAATATCAGGAATTCTTTTATACACAAATCAAAATAATATATTATTGATAGAAAATGAGAAACAACCAAAAATCAATATCAACATGTAAATATGTATCCGACTTAAAAAGAAAAATACTGTAGAAAAACCAATAAAAGAAATTAATTTGCCCTAAGTAATGCGCAGCACTTTCGTAACTTGACGGCACGGCGTCGGTACCAGCTGATTCCTTTCTGCATGCCGAGCTCCCTGACATAAACACGCTGCGCGTGAATCTGCGCAAATGATCAGGGAGGAATCGAGGAAACTAGCATCTGAGGGGCTAGACGTTGTTGAAATTTGTTGGGAGAAATTGCTCAGGAAATCTTCCGTAATTTTTAGTGTAATTTAACTGTTTAAAAATCATTTTTTCATTATGAAATCAGTTTTTATTGGATGGGCTACTTTAGTCTTTGACGCATATCTTTTTGACCTATTCTACGAACTGTATAAAACTGCAGAAACATGTCTAAAATCGTTAAGGGTCTGTATTTATATTGGCAGCATTTTTTATACTTGCATTCTTATAGGTGTTCTGCCGCATATTTTATTTTTTAAATATCTCTCTGATATATTTTGTACTTTTGCAGGAAGCTCAAAGTTTTGAAATTAATTCGGAGTTACCCGAAAAAATAAAAAGCTGTGGCGGAGTTGTCCCGTATGCTGTTGTGTCAGGAAATGTAAAAGCTCTTTCAGCATCTCTAAAAAGTCAGTATTTTTCATCAGTACGAGGAGTTATAAGACAAAACAAAATGCTGAACCTGTCAGAATGGTATGTGTGCTTTAATATGATTCTAAAAAAGTTTAATAACTATGTTTTATACATACATTTTCTCACAAAAGTGATGGGACACTTGTGCTTTACGAAAGGAAACTAATAAAATTAATTTAAAAATCATGTAAAAATTTTTTGTGGGTGTGTTTCATACTTAAATTTAGTAACAAGATACATTTTCTCAAAATATTAAAATATTAATTTTATAAAAATACAATTGTTCAGAACGGAGCAAAAAATGGCTCACATAAGTGATGGGACACAATTAGATACTACTACGTACTACAATAAAAATATTTTTTGGGTTTTTTATTTTTACTCAAAAGCAATTGGCAATAATTTATAAAATCGTCTGCAGTATTTCTGTCCAGTTTGTTTTGGAAATTTTGTGTTTTTTAGCTCCGTGCAGCCATGAATGCTAAACAAAACTCTGCCTGAAATTTGAAAATTAGTTATTAATTTGCACATTGAACGTGGAAAATCTATTAGAGAAACTGCTGAAACAGTTAACTTGAGAGTCATTCAACAGTTTTCAAGATCATTAAACGATATAAAAAGAATCATATGATTCAGGATAAAAGAAGACCTGGTCGACCATCAAAGCTATCCAATGGAATAAAGCGAATTATCGTTCGAAATATTAAAAAAAAAAAAAAAAAATCCAAGAATGAGTGCTCCTAAAGTTGCTGCTGATTCACAAGCATTATATGGAGTAATTGTTAATCCTGAGACTATTAGAAGAGTAATTCGATCTGCTGGATATCACGGTAGAGCAGCCAGGAGAAAAATTCTTCGTAAGTGAAAAGAATAGAGAACTCAGACTTGCTTTCACAAAATCCACATAAATAAGAATTCTAATTACTGGAATGAAGTTATATTTGCTGATGAGAGTAAATTTAATATATTTGGTTCTGACGGTAGAATCTTGGTGTGGAGAAAACCCAGGGAACAATTTCGCAAACAGAACTTGGTGCCAACAGTAAAACATAGTGGAGAAGAAGTTATGGTATGGGGGTGTATGTCGTCCGCTGGAGTTGGTAATCTCGTTTTTATTGACAGTATAATGGATCAATACAAGTATATTGACATTTTAAATCAAAATTTGAAATCTTCAGCACGAAAATTGAACCTTCATAACGATTTTAAATTCTACCAAGACAATGGCTTTGAACGTTAGACTCTGGCTGCTGTATAACTCAAGTTACCATAATGTAAAGATCAACGAAAAAAACATCCCAGAATTGCACAAAAATGGCATTGCGCACACTCTTCACTATATCCATGTACACTGCTTTTTTCTCATAAATTAGAAAAATTTCACGAAAATACATGACAATTTTCTCAATCTTTAAACCCGGTAAAAAGAACATATATGAAATTACCTGATCGCGAAAAAGTATTTACCCTTTCCAAATATGAACATTTCCACATATAAAATAAATAAAATATCCAAAAACTTTTACCTCTAAATCATCTATTATATTATAAACGTCACCAACGAATTCATACCGCAACCATTACAAATACTTAGTGTCAGATATTTAAATTATTTCCATACACGTTTACTTCAACTAAAACTTATACCAAATTCCTACAAACGTAAAATTCATAAAATAACTATCATTTCATTAAAATATAATTAAATTCAAAAACACTACTTAAAATATAAATGAGCACATACATTAAATTAATAAAAATTACCTTACAACCCTAATTACTTTAAACTAAATCATTGCTAATAACAATTTTCCCAATAATACCAAATTCCTTTCCACCTTACATTAAGAACAATGCATAAAAATAATATCCTCAAATAATTAAAAATACTAACTTACCTAATCTTCTTCAGAAATCTTGATTACGTGGCGGATACACTTTTCTAATTCATTCAATAAAATTATTGAAAGATTTTTTCTGCGAATTTTTTCTCCATACTTCCTCCGCTAAATAAAAAGCAAACTTCTCTTTATCACAATGCCTAAATACCCATTTCGAATTAAATTGAGTTACGGCCATGGGATCCAAAAATTAAACAACACTGTTTCACACAACACAGAATAAAGCTAAATACAAAACTTCCACATTTTTTCCCGATTTCCCCCCTTTTCCGATTAAAGAACCGTAATTCGTCCATTAATATCACATGACATATCCCATAATCTCTCATTTCCCTCACGCAAAATAATGCGTAATCGGAACTGAGTACTGCTCACATTATTACCAAAGTCCCAGGTAGTAACCTTTATCGCCTCCAAAATGTCGCCAAACTACCAGTTACCATATTGTAAAGATAAACCAAATACTTGATACAAAAGTAAATGTCCCATCACTTATGTGAGCCATTTTTTGCTCCGTTATAAACAATTGTATTTTTATTAAATTAATATTTTGAGAAAATGTATGTTATGTAATATTTATTACTAAATTTAAGTATGAAACACACCCACAAAAAATTTTTTACATGTTTTTAAAATTTATTTTACTACAGTTTCCTTTTGCAAAGCACAAGTGTCCCATCACTTTCGTGAGACACTGTATATTACATGTTTTATAAGTTCAATTATTATGTTTATGATAAGACTAAAGAATAATTTAAACATATGACTACCAATGATATGGCCAGAATTTTGCCACTCCTCTCCGTACACAAGCAAATATCTAAAAATGTCAAAATTTTACATAGGCAAATAAATTAAAACTGTGTATATTTTTGGAATAAAACTTCAAAGTTCCTATATTTTAAGATTGTATTATTATTTTGCTAATTTTCTTGTTTTCAAAACCATCAGTGACACTGTAGAGGTCTACTTCACTCCTTCAGTTGCTATTATGTGTAAAGTATAGAAAGATTTCTCAAATGCAAAATGTACATTTGTAGGTTTTAGATATTTTTGGTACTGTTCTCAGGACCAGATTCTGGAGTATATGTATGCACATAGTTATGTATGTACATTGCGCAAAAAAAAAGGAAAATGGGACAGTTTTGTAGCTCCTGTTGTACTCGGCCGATTGACGAAACTCAAATTGCTTTTTTCTTGTCTTGAAAGCACAATTTAGGATATATATTAGATTTATATATAGCATTATTTTAACATAGGTATATTGACACAAATTCGGACTTAATGTAGTAACATGCAAATTTTTTTACATATTTCAATTCTACGACTCGTATTATGCCAGACTGCCAGGTTTTGTAAAAGTTGCATGAGTAGTTTTTAAAAAATTAGTTCTCAAAGCTTTAGCTCCTCAATGCTAATTGAACACGCACTTACAAAAGTTAAGCTCGAAGAGAAAAATGCTAATTTCTGGAAGCTAATCAGAATTGAAGAGGATGCAATTCACTGCAGAGGTAGATGGAAGTATGCGCAAATATGGTAGTAACAGCCAATCATGCTTTCATGTCAAGAAATATGCAAAAAAGGCAGTCTTATAAGAAGCCAGCTTTATGAACTGTTGATTGTAAGTGTGGATAGAAGATGTTTAAAAATTTCGTACGATTTGTTTTCAAGACATACATGTTTCTATGACTTCGAGAAGACGAATGGAAGATTCTGACGTTTGCGTGCTGTGGGGCGCATTGAAGCAGGACAGTCGATCACAGATGTTGCTCTTTTCTTTGGCGTTCATCATTCGGTAATTTCACGTTTATGAAAACAATTCCAAACCACACAGACAGTTGTCCGAAGGCACATAGCCAGTCGCCCAAGATGATCAAGCTAAAAATTTGTTTGCTTCTAAAGGTATAATTTGGAATTTTATAGCTGAAAAAAAGTCCACAGTGGGGAGGTTTCTGGGAAAGACCGATACGAACGGTTAAAACTTGCTTAAAGAAAATTGTTGGACAATCATCTCTTTCTTTGAAAGAATTGGAAACTGTTTATTCAGAAATTGAAACCATGGTTAATTCCAGGACTATCACGTATCTGTACAACGAACCCTCTCCATCACCCTATCTCATTTTCTCACTAGTAAAAGATTAGGGTCTTTACCTGTAATTAAACATAAAAATGAAGATTTAAATGTTAATAGAAATTCTTTGGTAAAGAAATATAAATATCAACAAATACTTTAAAATCATTTTTAGAACAGGTGGAGAAAGGAGTATTTACTTAATCTGGGATCAGCTTATATTTCTCCACAACCAGGTAAAATAATTTCATTTAAAGTGAATGATATTGTTTTGATTAGTGATGAGCATTATCCCAGAAATGTGTGGATGATGGGAAAAATTTTAGAGCTATACCCAGGAAGAGACGGGGAAAAATTTGTTTTCTTATTTGAACTCTTAAAGTAAAAATAAAATGCTCAGTACAACTTGTGTATAATTTGGAAATTAATCCTTAATTGTGTTAATTTAATTGAGTTGTAAACCTTTTAATGTTCTATCTGTGTATTAACCTTTTTGCGACGGCGCACCTTTGTTTAGGACGCTCATGTGGAATTGAAGGCAGTGACCATACAGGACGGAGGTTTTGCATCGGTAAGCCTAATTTTATAAAAAAATAAAATAAAATAAAATAAAAAATCAGAAAGAAAAAAGTTTTGCTTCTAGCATCCTAATTTTTTGTATCATTTTAGATGGTTGATCTTTACATTATGGTAACTTGGCGTTTTTTTGGTGAAAATTTGGCGACCAACTCTCTTACAGCAACCCTCTATTTTTTTTTTTTTCCTGCCGCCATTTTGTCTTCACGAAGTAAAGACATGTTTCTTTTCTTTTTATCTACTGAACACTTCTTCCAACAATCTACTAGCCGAATTACACTTATGCTAGAAATTTTATCTAACAAAACTGCTTAATCATGACAAATATTCACTGCAAAATTGGAAAAAAGTGCACAATACCATACTCCTTACGCGTTTTTCAAAATAACACCTACACGTAAACCATGTACACGCTGACTTATTTTTACTTAAAAAAACATCCCAGAATTGCACAAAAATGGCATTGTGCACGCTCTTCACTATATCCATGTACACTGCTTTTTTCTCATAATTTAGAAAAATTTCACGAAAATACATGACAATTTTCTCAATCTTTAAACCCGGTAAAAAGAACATATATGAAATTACCTGATCGCGAAAAAGTATTTACCCTTTACAAATATGAACATTTCCACATCTAAAATAAATAAAATATCCAAAAACTTTTACCTCTAAATCATCTATTACATTATACACGTCACCAACGAATTCATACCGCAAGCATTACAAATACTTAGTATCAAATATTTAAATTATTTCCATGCACGTTTACTTCATCTTAAACGTGTACCAAATTCCTACAAACATAAAATTCACAAAATAACTATCATTTAATTAAAATATCACTAAACCATGTACACGTCGACTTATTTTTACTTAAAAAAACATCCCAGAATTGCACAAAAATGGCATTGCGCACACTCTTCACTATATCCATGTACATTGCTTTTTTCTCATAAATTAGAAAAATTTCATGAAAATACATGACAATTTTCTCAATCTTTAACCTTTTCGCTACGGCGCACCTTTGTTTAAAACGCTCGTGCGGGACGGAAGAGAATCGAAGGCAGTCACCGTACAGGACGAAGGTTTTGCATCGTTAAGCCTAATTTTATAACAAAACTCAGAAAAACAAAAGTTTCGCTTCTAGCCTCGTAATTTTTGGTATCATTTTAGATTATTACTTGAGCTCTTATATATGTTAAAATTAGCCCTTAAAACATTTATTTCTTTATTTTACATGGAAATATACTTAAAAAATTGCTTATCTTCCATAATACTTTTCGGAAGAGCTATTCAAATTATTCTAAAGTTTTAATTGATAAAATCCATCAATAAAGTTTAAAATTATTAAAAGAACACAATAAAGACTATTTACAGTAAGAAGTAACAAAATTTAAAATGAAAACGAGCGTGGTAAATTTCGAAGCACAGAGAAGTATCACCTTGTAACTCTTAGAAAAAGTATCACTTTTTAACTCCTTAGAAAATGAATCAGTACTCTCATTTGCATTAGTAAATGGTTCACTAACCATACTAGGGTATTCTTCCTCTGATAAATAGCGCCTCCTTCCCGTCATAATAGACTGGAGGTGAGGCTTTCCTAAATAAAAAAAGAAGGAACGGAAATATATCTGAAGGCAATGCAAAACGTAAAAAAACTCTGCACAGTAACCCTAAAAGACCGTACAAAGTAGAGGAAAAAAATAGAATAAAAAAGGAATTGGATATGAATCAGATACGAGAATGTTCTCATTAGCACGCAGCGATTTAAAGAGCCCTGCGTTTGTTTACATTACGATTTCCCCCCTCCCCAGCCACAGCTGACAAGCAAAATACCAAAAACAGCCAGAATATAAACAATCTGAAGGTCAGAATACTAAAACTACGTTCAGTTTAAATGTAATGGACACAGAGTGCCATCTAGTGGCTATTAAAAATTGTTTCAGCTTAAAATGCGTATCTGCACTGCCCGTTCACTTGGCCAGTTCTCCAGGAGTGCACGGATGAACCGCCTGGGCCCAGGGCCGTCTTAAGGAATTCGGCGCCCATGGGCTACTAAAAATAATGCGCCCTTCTTCCTAAGAAAATACACAGAATTGCAAATGGGAGTCGAAAATGTTATACAAAACAAAAGTGTCAGAACTAGAAAAAAACTATTTATTACTTTTATAATAAACTGTTATCTTTATTGTAACTTTTCTTTAAAGTCACTTATTTAAAAGATGGGTATAAATGTTTACCCAGATTTGAGGGGATTATCTCAATAATGACAGTTCCGATCAGTTTTTAGTCTAATCCTTAGAACTTGATCGGAACTATTATATGATTCTCCATCAGTGCATAACATAAACAAAAATAAAATTTAATTAAATAAAAAAACCATTTAAGAACAAAAGCACACCTTAATCTAAACAAATGTAACTTATATATTTATTTTCCTAGCTTTTTCTTTGGCAAACTGATCAATAATATCACTACTATTTAAATTTTCAAATAAATCTCTTTCAATAGACAAAATACTTAAATCATTGAGTTTACTCTGTCTCAAAGAAGATCGTAAGTAATTTTTTATTCTTTTGATTTCTGAAAATGATCTTTCGCCACTGCAGTTTGTTGTGGCGATACTTAAAAATATGCGCAGTGCTGTGGTCACGTTTGGAAATGTAGATTCAATTTTTAACTCGATTATTGTCTTTAAACTTAGTTCTGCGATAGATATATTTTCGGTATTTTCCAATAAATTCACATGTTTAAAATGTAGGTATTCTTCAATAAAGTTGTTTTCTAAATCATTCTGATATATTTCGCCCAACTTTGCAGCATTATTTCTAATTATGTCTTCATTTATATTTTTTAAATTAACTAGAAACCCAAATGTTGAATAAATGTCAACATATGCACATTTTCTCTTTTGTACTTCTGCTAGAATTTTATCAATAATAGCATAATATGTTTTTATGCGGAATTCGTCATTTGCATCAAGTTGCACTTCTTCCGACGTATTTTCGTCGAACTGTCTTTTTCTTTTCCGTAACCGTTTGTATTCACAACAGCCAGATAATTTTATACCTTCTGATTTGTAAAGGTTAAACGAATCTATATTTCGTTTCGATTGTACAAATTTTTCTAAAGAAGCATATAATGAAACAATGCATTCAATTGTAATATCAACTTTTTGAAGCGATATATTAGTTTTATCGATGGTTTCCAATATTTCACTCCAAAATGCTATCATAATAGCAGTTTCCAATGAGTTGAACTCGTTTAACAACCCCTGGGCTTCGACTTTTGTTGCAGGCTTTTGAAAATTATCTTCGTAAAGTTTAGTTAAAGCATTTTTAAAATTTTCATAGTCCGAAACCACTACTTTCACTGAATCAGCTCTTGCTGACCAACGAGTGTCGCTTAATTTTTTGGGAACTTTATTTTTTGCTGTTAGCGTATTTTTTAAAATTTCCCATCTTGATATTGATGCGGCAAAGAAATTGTATAAGATTTGTAGAAACAAAAACAATTTAGTTGCTTGTATGCAACATTCAGCTGCCGATTGTCCAATTAAATTTAAAGAATGTGCCGCACAAGGCACGTAAATGGCAAGATTATTTCTAGATTTAATGCGTGCTTGGAGGCCGTTATATATACCCGACATATTAGAGGCATTATCATAAGATTGTCCTCTACAATCTTCCAAACTAATATCTAAATCAGATAATAGCTTTAAAATACAGTCTTGCATTTCTGAGCTCTTTTGGCCAGTATTCTCCAAAAATTTTAAAACCCTTTCAACGGGTGTTCCATTTTTATTGACATATCTTACGACAATGGTTAATTGATCCATATGGGAAATATCGGGCGTCGAATCTACTATAATAGAGTAATATTTTGCCTCTTTTAGTTCCGTGATAATAAAACATCTAACATTTCTGCCCAATATTTTTAGAAACTCATCACAAATATTTGCAGATAAATAAGAAATATTCCCAGTACCTTTATTTGCAAAATTAAATATATGTTGTTGCAAAATAGGGTCAAATTTGCTAAACGTTCTAAGCACCCTAAATAAATCCCATTATGTTTATCACCAATAGTTTGATTTTCTCCCCTAAAAGCCAAACCCCTTGAACTTAAAAATTTTATGCCTTCGATGATACGTTCTAAAATATTTTTCCAGTAATTCGTATTTTTTTCCATTGATATAATAGAATAATTTTTGAAATATTCCCATTTTTCTGTAGATCTGTTCACAATTATACGGGTGTTTTCTTTATGAAGGGCTGAATTTTCATAGTCCGAAATTTTTTCACTGTGTTTCCAATCGTTAAAACCTGCACTAAATGGATTATTGGCACTACCGGACAGTTTGCAAGGGATGCAATATACTTTTCCTGAAGTATTTGAGTATAAAAGCCAGTCTCTTTTTTGTTGTTTTGTTTTTTTTTTTTTTGTTTTTTTGTTTTTTTTTTTTTTTTTTTTTTTGTTTTTTTTTTTTTTTTTTTTTTTTTTTTTTTTTTTTTTTTTTTTGTCCGTTTGTAAACGTCTATAAAATATCATTTTTGTAGCATACCTGCTCTGTGATTTGTAGACCACTTTAGATGCAGAAAAGTCTAGTTCTTGAATATCTACCTCTACGTTAGATATGTTCTTCATTATATCTATAATTTTATCTCCGCTTAATTTTCCCCATAATGCTGGATCAGTATAATTAACACTCAACATATTACTAAGTTCATCTTCATCTAAATATTCTCTTTCTTGATCTTCTGGCTGTGGCTGTTCCATGTTTTGTTGTTTCTGGTCCTCTTCTTTTTCTTTCACATTTGATTGCTGGGCATTATTGTCATACTGTTGTTGATTTTTTTCTTTTCCCTCTTTGTGTTGCTCATCCTCTGTAATATCCATAGAAAGAGTTTCGCCTTTTTTAAAGAAATTTGTTAATGTAGGCATTTTTTCCAAGAGAGCTTTTTGCCTCGCCTCTTTCTCTTCTTTTAATTTA